GCATATACACAGCACTTCGCAATCCTCCGTACTCCCACCTTTTAAAATCTTATTTCTTTCCCCTCCCTCCCTCTCCCTTCATCTCTTAGTTGCCTTCATATATGCTTAAGATCCCTTTCACTATTTCCAGTTGAGGATTTTTAAAATAAATATTTATATATCTACTCATGTAATCTTCAGCCCCCTGAGATTGGTATTACTGTTATAATTTTGCAAGTAAGGAAATGAAGTCAGGGAGAATTTTGGTTTGATGGAGCCAGGATTCACAAGCCAGCAGCCATAGTGCACTACCCCAAATGGTAGTTCCTGTTTTAGGATTGGCCTGAAAATTAAATGAGACCATCTATATACAGTATGTAATACACAATAAATGTTAATACTTTCCCTTCTTATTTTTATCTAAAAATAATGGCATGTCTGATGAGTATATTTTTCTGACCTGGAATATAGGAAGAAAGCTTTTTAATATAAGAATAAAAATAAAACCATATTTTATTGTGCCTTTTATAAATTTATTTTATTAGAAAGAAAATTATATTGATTTGATATTGTCCTCCAAAATGCAAGGTATGTGGTCTGCACCGTCCCAAGGCCCTTCCTCTTGGGTGGTTTTTGGCTCTTGTTAGTTAGGGACTGATTGCAGTTGGTGGCATGAAGGTCTCATTCGTCATAATGGTCTACTTTTTCAAATGTTTTAAGTTTGGACAGCACAGCTGTCACCTGGTGCCTGCCTGGCACCAAACTGGGACTCAGTCCCTGGCTCCCTCTACCAGCTTGACCCCCAGCTGTCCTCTGTCTCTGCAGGTGACTCTGGACCTGTCCCAGCACCAAGGCATAGCAGTGCGCAGGGTCTTGAACACAGAGGGCAACGTGGTGAGCAAGTTTGGTGTCACAGACTTCCCATCTTGCTACCTGCTGTTTCGGAACGGCTCTGTCTCCCGAGTCCCCGTGTGAGTGCAGCGTCTCCCTGTCCTCTCTCCTCCCTCCCTGCACTCATCTTTCCTGCCCTGAGTGGCCACAGACCTGGCGCACAGGTTCTTTCTCCTGGGAGAACCCTCTGAGAAAAGAGGAGCATCAGTGCAGGACAAGCAGATGTCAGTCTCTCTGTAGGGGGGAGGGGCTGTAGGGCCCCAGTCCTACAGTCACCCAGGGTCGTGCCTCAACTCTGACTATCTCTACACCATCCACATCCAACCCTGGCCCTATTCCCCAGCCTCTTCTGTCCACAAACGTAGATTCACTGGCAGGCTTCAGACCTGGCAAGGACTCAAATATGCCTGACCCTCCCTCCCTTTGGTTTTCTAATTGCAGAAAAGTTCATTAAGAGCCAGACAATAGCCTGTTCCAAAATGTGAGAGAAAACAATCAGGCCAGCTTTAGCCCCTCTGTCAGGCTCCTGCTGCTGAATGGCCTGCTAAATGGCACCAGATGGTGCCTTGGTGCCCTCCATGGGTAGATGATTGATGTCCGCCTGGCCCTGCTGGGTAGAGCTCAAGAGCCAGGGAGACCAAAGCTCGCCTGAGGTACCCAGTGAGCTGCTCCTCAGGGCATTAGTGCCATCCTGTGGTAAGGCTGGGCAGGACAGCCACTTGCCCATGCCCTGGCCCAGATCACCAGGCAGTGTTGAGCAGGCTTGTCAGAGAGTCAGAGGCATCTTGGCTGCAGGAGAAAGAGGAAGGTGAGATTCTAGGCAGACCCAGAAACTGCCAGCCCTGGTGGGGAGAAGAGGCATTGTTTCCTCACTTGGAGTTGGTGGAGGAGAAAATTGTTTATGACGATGCCGCTCTCCAGCCATCTGCTCATCGATAAACACTGGGCCAGGACAGCGGAGTGGAAAGCAATGCTTCCTGATGCCAGCTCCCCTGGGGCATCCCACCACACTGCTGCTGGGCTGGGCATCTCCGCCCCTAGGTGGCCTGACCCTGGTGAGTGAGAGGACTTCGTGTTCAGGAGAAAATTCTTGCTTTTGAGGACTCTGCTGTATCAGAAGAGAGAGAAATCAAAAGGGTTTGGAGAATCTTGGTTCTTTGTTGTTAATGCTATTTTGTTAAAATTCACATATCAGACTCTTGACTTGGAGACTAATGTCATCTCATGGTACTTGTGAGTGAGTAGCTGCCTTGAGGTCAGCTCCTTTTGAAACTTTGATGTGAGATAAGTAGCCCAACCCAGCTAGTCTTGTCCATGGGCAGATTTTTTTCTTTTTTTGGCAGTACTGGGAATCCAGCCCAAGGCCTTGTGCATGTTGGCACTCTGCTGAGCTATGGCTCTTCTTGGATACAGTACTGTCCTACAGGGGCTACCTGCCCTTAGGCACTTGATCCCCAGCTTGTTCAAACTGTGGCCCTGCCTGGAGTCCCAGAGTAGGTTGCGGGACTCTTGGGTCTAGCTGCTATTCCAGGTGGCGAGGCCATACGAGGCTGGTATCAAAGAGGCTTTCCACAGTGTGTGCAGTGAACAGAAGGGGTTGAATGAAGCCTTGGTAACCTAGTTTTGACTTGGTGAGATGGAACTAAGTTCAGATATTTCTTGCTAAGCCTGTTGGGGAAGCCACCCTTCTTCCTCTGCTGACATTGGTTAGCCCTAGGATTTGTCCTTTGTACCTACTGCGTCCCCTGTGCTCTCTTCCCTCACAGGCTAAAGGAGTCCAGGTCCTTCTACACTGCCTACCTGCAGAGGCTCTCTGGGCTCACCAGGGAGGCTACCCCAGCCACAGCTGTACCAACCACTCCTGACAAGATAGCGCCCACAGTGTGGAAATTTGCGGATCGGTAAGGCCACACTCAGCTCCCCTCATACGGTGCCCCCACAGACCACACCTCCTTCTCACATCTTACTCACCTTGTTCCTGTTGTGGCTGTAGCGCCTGCTATTCAGAGGCTATTCGGAGCCTAGACTCCCACCTGACCCGAAAGGCTGGATTTGACCTTTGAGGTCCCCTGACTGCTAGATGTGCACAGGGAGTGCAGCAGTTAACTGGCAGCTTCTCGGGTATCTGCTGCCAGGGCCTCGGTGCGGAATGTGGGGAGTCCTGAATAGCACATCATGTTGCCCTTAGTGATGGAAGGCATACTGTCCAATCAGTGCCCATATCACTTAAGCTACCTTCCCCGTATTACCTCACTTGGTCGTGAAGCCACTTCTCCAGGAGGCACATGAGTATCGAGAGGTAAACTGAGGTCCAAGGACACCACAGTGGGGTACAGAGAGAAGACATTGTCCTGAGGGTAAAACACAGGTAGTGACTGCTCACCCTGTCGTGGCCTTGCTGGCTCTCTATACCTTCAGGAGGTAGATTTGGTAGAGTGATTTATTTCTTTTATAAGTGAGGGACTTGGGGCCTAGTGAGGTAGGTTGAGTTGCCCACGTTCACAGAACCAGCTCATCCTCAAGCTCAGGCCAGAACCAGGTCTCAAGGTAGGAATAGAGGAGCCAAGGTTCTTCCTATTAGCTCCGAGCCAGGCCCTGAGTGAGCATGGAGGCATGGGGTGGCGTAGCCTACTGGATCCCCCAGTCGCTCCCCAAGGCATGAGGTCTGGCAGCTGTGAACAGCCCATCAGCCTGGAAGGAACTATAAAGCCTGTTGCCCACCCTGCCCCTCCATTGCTCCAGCCCCAGCCTTGCAGGGCAGCTACACCTCCAACCTCTCACAGCAGGCCCAGCTGCTGCAGAGCTGGATCTGTGCACCGTTGGTCTGTTTGTCCGCCCCTGGGAGACTGCTCAGAATAAAGAATAAAGCTCAGCCTCACTAGGGGCCTGATTAGTGAGTCCCAGGGACGGCTGGCTCTGGGACTAGAGAGGAGGAACTCTCCTTCTTGCCATAGTGTACACTTTTACTCGATCCTCTCAGCAACCTACCTGTGAGCTATGTGTTTTTATTCCTATTGTACAGGAAGTGAGGCTCAGAGGAGTTAAGTTACTCACTCAAGGTCATGTTATTAGCAGAGCCAGTGCTAACTTAGAGGATTCTGTGCCCTTTCTTTTCTATCCCTTTAGTCCTGAGGGCTCCTCCCTATGCCCTGCCTGGTGGCTAATGCCCCTCTTCCTCTCCCTTCTCCTGGGTTCTCAGCTCCAAGATCTACATGGCTGACCTGGAATCTGCACTACACTACATCCTGCAGGTAGAAGTGGGCAAGTTCTCGGTCCTGGAAGGGCCGCGCCTGGTGGCCCTGAAGAAGTTCGTGGCAGTGTTGGCCAAGGTGAGCAAGGTCACGGCTCCCCTCATCCCTGCAGTCCCACATGTGGTGGTATGCGTGTGTGTAAACCACACGCTGTGCTGGCCCCTCCCGCCAGGGGCTGGCTGTATACTGGACCTCAGCTGTCCAGTCCATCGTGGCTGCTGCCCTGTAGTCAGTCAATCTCCACAGCAGCCCTGTACTAGTAGGAATACACTGTGAAGCATGTGGGTGGGACACAGGCCAGAGGTGCTGACACCTATTCATGACTGTCACTCCATCTCTGCTTCAGTCTTCTAACTCACCTGAGTGTGTCCCTGCTGTGGTCACTGGGAAAGCCCGATCCCTGGAGCACCACAGTGAAGAGGATGCTGTCCTGAAGCTCCTGTCCTCCCTCCCAGTGTGACCAGGTCCCTTGCCCTAGCCCTGTCTGCCATATTCCCTTGTGGTTTCCTGGAAAGTTGTCTGCTCCATGGAGTAGACACCTTCTTATCGAAGACCTGCTATCTGTTCAGCATTTAATTCTCTTCCCTCCTTACCCTGCCCCTCTGGTTCCAGATCCACTGCCAGTGCTGCCCTACTTAAACCTAGGCGGCCATTGCCAAGGGTTGCTGAGTCATATGCAGGCATTGGGCCCCTTCAGGGCTGACTATTGCCACCCTCGGCCTGATCTCTACTGTCCTTGGGCCCCTCTCCTCTGGAACTTCCTGCATCTATCCCCTTTTTCCACCTCACTAGTCCTGGCCCTCCTGGCCCACTTGGCTTGGTGAAGTACCCTTGTGAGTGCACTGAGAGGATCCTACGAAGGATATTGTAGCCTAAGGCACAACAGCTTTCAGCCCCTCTTGTTGGTCCCCGGCAGAATGGACTCTTCCTGATCATAAAGGCCTTTTCTCAGAGACCTGAGAGCTGCTTATTTCCTACAGTACCGAGGCCTGAGGCAGACAGCTAGGCACCCAAGAAGAAAACCTTAGAGCAATTCTGTGTGGCATCCTTCCACCCCTAGCATGTTTCTTTTAGCGGACCTCAGGAGATAAGACATTCAGTCCAGTCCAGTCCACTGCACAGGAAATCTCCCAAGGCACTGGTTTCCTGTGTGTTACTCGCATCTCTCAGCTATACACAGACCTGGTTTGGAGTGTGGCCTCTGTTGAGGCAGTTGCAGCCAGACTGAAAGTGCTTAAGTTAAACGGAGGCTTCAGCAACACCTTGGGGTGTGCCTGCTGCATTGCTGCTTGCAGCCCATGCTTGAAGATGATTGGGAGGGGCGAGGCCTTCCTGCTAGAAGCCAGGCTGAGAGAGGACAGGGTGGCCTTGAAGCAGAGGGAGGCCAGCTTCCAGAGACGGAGCAGAGACCCATGGGCATTGAGCTCCCCCTTGACTTTTGCCCGAATATCTGCCTTGAGACTGCAGTGTTCTGGCCTCAGCCATGCTCAAGTAGCTGCTTCCTGAATAATAACAATAAAAGCAGCTCTTTTGCTTGAGCTCTGACAGGCTGGCACACTTAGGTTTATTTCTTTTGAAGTCCATGGGTGAGTACCAGGATGCTCTCCATTTTATAGTTGAGATGGCAGCCCAGAGGGATGAACCACTTTGCCAAGGGGGCATTTGCACCCACATCTCTTCCAGCCCTGCTCTAAACATGTAGTGCTTATGGGCACAAAAACCTGAAGGGGAGAAAGCTCGCTGCGATGCTGTCCTGCCCTGCCTGCTCTGTGCTCTGCTCCCTCACCTGAGCAGCTGGCAGGACTGGCCACTGGGTGGCGTGTGTTCTCTAAGGTTTCCTGCTCCCTGTAATCCTTTAAAACATCCATCTGACCCTGGCCAAGTTGGGATGCCAGGCAGAGGTCAGAGACAAATGCAGACTTCAGGCTGTAAATCTGTGTGTGAGCCCCAGGAGGGGACTCACTGAAGCTCCATCTTTTCCAGCCCTTTCTCACTCTGGAGGAAGGTGTCCAGCCTCTGAGGTTTGATAGGAGCAATTCATGGCTTTCTCAGGAATGCTTCTGGTAGCAGGTTTTTTCTGTTTAACTAGTCCTATTTCCAGGATCCTTCTTCTCTTGAATTTTTTTCCTTTTTTTCTCCACAAGTTTCCCAAAGCCAGTGCCCTCTGCGTCTGCCTCTTCATGATTTCATCTGACCTGCTCTGCTGCTGCCTCTCTTTCTGCCTGCCCCTATCCCCGTGCACACATGTGCACAAGTGCATAGCCTCCTCCCTGGGGTCCTTGTGGTTTCAAAGTGCTGATACTAATCAAATTTGAGTTGACTGTATTGTCAAAGTAGATTTTCATGTTCCTCAGAGACTACCATCGGGATTGGGACGTTGGCTCTAAGCCCCGGGGCTGACCTGTCCCACCTGGTAGCCTATGGAATACAAATGAAAGGCCTTTTGCTGGCTTAGCCCAGCCGGCCAGTCAGCTGCCTCACCAGAAGCCACCTGAAGAGAAGAAGTATGAGCAGGGTTCTCATCAGCCCTAGGAAGTTGCACAGAGATCAGGCCTTCCTCCCAGTTGTGACACAAGTCACAGGGGGCAGGATGAAAGCCTGAACCTTGAGGGGCAAGACCTTCAGGGCCCAGCCCCACACAGGGGCTTAGGGGCTCTCCTGCTATACCCCTTCCTGTAGCTTACAAGGATGCTCCAGAGCAAAGGTAGTGAGGAATCCATACTTGTGCTTTAATCAGAATATTTTCTTGGTGAGTTTGGAACATTCTAGAAAACCTGCCTTGGCCCACTTCTGCACAGCCCCCTACACTCTGAAGACAGTAAAACTTGACAGAATTACTTTGCACTCTCTAACTTCCACATTTTTTGCTCCACAGTACTTTCCTGGCCAGCCCTTGGTCCAGAACTTCCTGCACTCCATAAATGACTGGCTTAAGAGGCAGCATAGAAAGAAAAAAATTCCTTATAGTTTCTTCAAAACTGCCCTGGACAGCAGGAGGGAGGTGAGTCTGGGAGGCAAATGAATATCTCTCCCCATCCTTGATAGTTATGGAACTGGAAAAGGGGTTAACACTGTAATCTCCAGTCTCTTCAGTTTGTATTCAGGAAGACATCAGCAAACTTGGTTGGATACTTCTATTAATAAACAAACTGCTATGTATTGAGTTCCTCATGCATAATTCATTTAATCCTCATGAGCTACCTTAGTGGAAGGTAGATATCCCCATTTAGCAGACAAAAGAACAGAAGTGAAGAGACTTCAAATAACTTTCTGAGGTCCTGTAGTGCCAGTAAGTGGCTGGGCTGTGATTAAAAACCAGTGAGAAGGGGTGGGGATGTAGCTCAGTGGTAGAGCACTTGCCTAGGATGAACTCCCACGTTCAATCCCCAGTATTGCAAACAAACGAAAAAGTGGTGAGACACCAGGGTTTCTAACTACCATTCTCTGCTGCATTCCTGAGCATGGCCCTCTCCAGGGCACCTCTCAGGGCTCCTGCTCATGCCACTCTTTGTGGCAGCGGGTCACTGCAGCCAGCGTGTGTGCAAAGCCTTACGTTCTTGTGGGATGTCTGAGCTTAAAGATTAGCCCTTTGTTTCATAGATGGAGTTTTTGAGGCTAGAATAAGTGTATAACTGGATCTGTACCAGAGGTTTTCAGAGTCTGGGGATATAGCTGAGTGGCACAGCACCTGCCTGGCAAGTGCAAGGTCCTGAGTTCAATTCTCGGTACCAACAACAACAAAAAAAAGGCATTCCCATAGGTTTTCAGATGTGCTGATTCTTGGTTAGGTGGAACAGGTGGAAGGAAAGTGCCATCTTTGAGGTGACAGAGAGGGACCTCATTTGTCATGGGACTGTGTGCTGTCATTTGACTATACTAGAAGCTTCTCTTTTCATTTCCTTTTGCCAGCCTTTTTTTTTCCTCACTGTGAACTCACACTCATGTGTCCCTTAGGATGCTGTTCTTACCAAGAAGGTGCACTGGGTTGGCTGCCAGGGAAGTGAGCCACATTTCCGGGGCTTTCCCTGCTCCCTGTGGCTCCTCTTCCACTCTCTGACTGTGCAGGCAAGTCGGCAGAGTGCAGACCGCTCACAGAAGCCAGGTAAGTCCGGGATCTGTTCACCGCGCTGTGCACCAACTGTACCCTTTCCTGCCCTTCACATAAGGGTGGGTCAGTATCATTCTGGGGGCCACAGCAGGATCTTTGAATGAGCAGCTGGACATAACAGGCATGGAACCAGTCTCAGCATGTGGAACACTTTGAGAGTTCACGCAGTCCTGTCCCCTGCCTCTGTGGTAGTACCCCTGAAACTGGGGCGTGAGGCTACTCCCTGGCTTTTAACATTGAACAAGTGGGCATCCAATTCAGTATACATCTATAGAGGAACTGGGTTTATATCAGACCCTAGCTCCGCTTGCAGGATATGAAGGTTTAGAAGACTATTCCTGCTCTCAGTGGACTGTATGGTATGTGGTAGAGTGGATAAAGAGCTCTCTGCATTGTGCTGGAGCCAAGGGGCCAAGAGAAAGAAGGATATGTGGGTTAAATGGGATAGGCTCAGTGCTGCTGGGGAGAGCAAGAGAATTCTCAGGGAGCCAAGATGAGAGGTGATGGGTGGAAAGGAATTCAGCTTGGAAGGAGGTGCTCCCGGACACCAGGAACAGCCTACCAGAGGCAGAGGGAGCCAGAAGGACTGCTGTCAGAGGCAAAGCTGGAGCTGGTGCATCTGTACTTACAGAGAAATCTCCACAGTACCTGCGGCTTCAGTAGGTGGGGGTACAGTACTCTGTGAGGCCTCCAGGGGTCGGTATTCCAGTGATGAGACAAGCAGTAAACGCAGAACATTTTGGATGTAATGATGAGTGCGCGAGGAAGGTAAAGAAAGCAGAGTGCTGTGGGAGGAGCCACTGTGCTCCGACAGTGTGGCTGCGGAGGCTCCTCCTCCGAGGAGGCGACCCTGTGTTGAGACTCCCATGGAAAGAAGGAAGCAGTCGTGGGGCATCTGGAAAGAAAGTCTTCCAGACTGTCAGTCTTAGGTGGCCGTGATAGATACCACGGGCTCGGGGCTCAGGCCGCAAATACTGATGGTCTCACAGTTCTGGAGACTGAAGTCCACAATCAAGGTATGGACTTTCATCTGAGGCCTTTCTCCTTGGCTGGTAGATGGCTGCCTTCTTCCTGTGTCTTCATATTGTCTCCCCTTTCCCTATCAGTGTCTAGGTTTCCTTGTGAAGACATGGGTCGCCCTGGATTAAGACCTACTCTAATGACCTCATGTTACCTTATCTACTTTTTAAAAGACCCAGGCAGGGCTGGGGATTTAGCTCAGCGGCAAAAGCACCTGCCTGGCAAGTGCAAGGT